CTGGTGGGATTGTAAATTAGTGCAATAACTATAGAAGACAGTATGGAGTTTTGTCAAAAAATTAAAAATAGCTCTAGATATGTTAGTCAAGATTAAAGTAAAACAGGTATCCATAGAAAAATGGATAAAATATAATGTGCAAACGTGTACATTTGCACACTTATTAGAGTTCAGCAATAAATAAGGACCTCTTGCCATTTGTGACAACTTGGATATACCTACAGAAAAAAGACAAATGTTGTGTGATTTCAGTTATATGTGAAATTTAAAAAAACACCCAAAGATAAAAACAAAAACTCACTTTTTAACATTATTAATTGTATATTCATCATAGAAAGGAGCTCAATCTCTTGATTGCTAGAGGGTAGAACATTGGGAGCATGGATAAAAAAAAAAGTGAAGGGGAATATGGTAACTGAACGTATAATTAATAGACTTTAAGTGGTGATCATAAGGGATTTAAATGTCAAAACACTATGCCACTGAAACACATAAAACTAATATAGTATAATATGCTAACAATACTTTTAGAGTTAAGTGGAATCCATAAATGAAAAGATAAAAAAGTTCAAGCATTTTTAGGAACAAATGACAAAGACATATACAATTAAGCTTGATATACCTTCCAAATTTTAAAGCAAAAAGACTTTTTAAATTTACTTTCATTTTCAAATATTTTCTTTTAGAAGTCTTTCAAATTGAATGAGATAATTAAAATAAATCTTAATAGATCCAGTTTAATGGTATGTAATAGAAGGAAGAAAAAACTTGAGAGGAAAAATTTCTGGCTCAATAGTAACTACAATGATGGCCAATTCAAAGTGAATTTCCAACTATAGACTAGAAGTAAAAATTCTAATCAGTGGAGTCTATATCTAGCTGCACATCAAAAACCCTGAGGAGCTAACTCAGTTGGTTAGAATGTTACCCTGATATGCCAGGATTCTGGGATTGATTCCTGGTAACAGCACATACAAGAATCAACTGATGAAAGCAGGACTGGGTAGAATAATAAAATTGATGTTTCTCTCTCTCTTGTTCCAAAAATGCTGAGATTTTAAATATTTCTTCCAAAAACTTTTACAGGAAATTCCAATAGGAAACCTTGGAAGCTTAACTCATTCACAAATATGCAAAAACTAACTTAATAAGTTGGCCAGTATACAGTGAGAATATACTGAAGAAGTAACTGGATTTTCAAACTATAGCTGCTGCAGGTAACAACTGCAAGCAGCAAACACAAAAAAGAGGATGATTGTGTGTGTAGACATTATTATATAGCCTAACTGGTTGTTTGTTAACTATCATTTGCCCTAACTGACTAATGGCTGGAACTTACAACTGACTAAATATATGAACTATCACTTATGACATATCAAAGTCAATGCAAAGGTTATCAAAGGGGGAGTATATTTGAATGTGTTTTCTTTTCATTTATCAAAGATATTTGGGTTGAATGAAACTTTAAGATTTTAAATCAGGGCATGGCAAATATGGCTTAAAGGCCAAATACCTGTTCTTATGAGTAAGACTATCATATAAGACACAGATATGCTCTATGAGTGCTATTATGTTAACACAGCAGAACTAAGCAGAGTGACAGAGACTATATACATTTTAATCGCCTTGTATTGCCTGGCAAACTATAAAATGCAGCAAACAGTTAAAATGCAAAACCATTTCAACTGCTGCACGTATTACCCATACTTCAACATTTTTTTCTTTCAATACTGTGTATAGCCATCATGTCAAAATAAGAAAGACTTCAAATGTAGCACTTTTGTTTCTGGCCTGTGGGGCTCAGTTGGTTGGAGCATTTTCATGTATACTGAAAGGTTGTGGGTTCAATTCCCGATCAGCTCATTTACTTGGGTTGCAATTTTGATCCCTGGTTAGGGCACCTACAAAAGGTAACTGATCAATGTTTCTCTTGCATTCATATGCCCACCTCTTTCCTCTCTCTTTAAAATCAATAAGCATGTAATCAGTGATGATTTAAAAGAAAAAAGAAAATGAAACACTTTAAAAGCATGTGGAGCCCAGCCAGCTTGGCTCGGTGGTTGAGCATTGACCCATGAACAAGGAGGTCATGGTTGATGCTCTGGTCAGGGAACATGTCTGAGTTGCGAGTTCCAATCCCAGTGAGGAGCATGCAGGTGGCAGTCAATTGATGATTCTCTCTCATAACTGATGTTTCTATCTCTCTCTCCCATTCTCTCTGAAATAAAAAACAAACAAACAAACATTTAAAATGCTCATTAAAATATATCTCTCAGCTCTGCATCAGCTTGTGCAGCAAAAAGTCATGGGTTAGGTCCCTGGCTCCCCTCAGAGCTCATGCAGGAGGCAACAGATTTATATGCCACTCTCACATCAATGTTTGTCTGTCTCTGTCTGTCTGTCTCTCTTCCCACCCCTCCCTTGCACTCTTTCTAAAACTTAATGGAAAGTATATCCTCAGGTGAGGATTAACACTATGTAAGACAGAAATTTTTAAAAATGTAAAATGTAGAATTTCATCCAAGCTAAATTGCTTCACAAAAACTAAAACAAAATTAAGGCAAGACTAAATGAAATCTCTGGCCAGGCAAGAAAAACAGTTTATAAATTGTGAGTTAATTAAATCATGTTTGGTTGCAGTGGGTACTTCTAGAGAAAATAAAATGGTTCCAGACTGTTATCCTTTTCGTTGAGAACAGATTACTCAATGAAAATGTTGGAAGCATGAATACGCAACTCAAAAATAAAATGAATAACTTCAAACAGATTTTTTGTCTCTTTACAAGCCAACAGATTATTAATATTATATCATTGGTTTCTTTGAGAAGTCAATACCAAATGTGAAGTGACTCAAGGATTCACCTCTGTAAGTTGTCTCCACAGGACCATTATAAGAGAATATTTTCTAAGAAACTGAAAAAACTTTAAATACTACTGAAGGGGCATCTGCTAAGATATATTACAACTAATGGTGGGAAAAATATGAATGAAGTGAGAAAAGCCTTACTTGGATAAATTAACAAAGTTTATGAAAATGTAAAGTGCTTAATGTCTATGGTTAATTATGTTATTATTCACTGGTACATACTTTATGCAAAATACTTTATTGTGTGCCATTCTCAAAGAGTTAATGAACATCAGTTTCATGAATTCTTGTTGGAAAGAGAAGCTGGTCACTTATGGCTTCGCACTCAGGGTTGAGACTGAAATTTTTTTTGAATGAGAACAACAATCAACCGCTGTCATTGGTCATTAACTTTTTTTGCAATTTTTATGATGATTCTTTAAGAAAAACCCACAATCTTATATTGCAAAACAATACTACACAGTAAAGACATATGAAAGACAATGTTTTTGGCACTGCAAGTACTATTCAGCTGCTTAAAACACTCTGTGTGGTATTAAAAATTAAACAAAAGTCTAGATGTCCATCCCTTCAACAATTTGCAGCACTACAGCTTTAGAACCATTTTTCAAACCTCAGTGCAATGCACAGAATATTTCCATTTTGCAAAAGCCATTTGTGCAATGAAATGTGAAAGGAAAACATCAAGTAAAAAAATGAAGAACTTTTTTTTAGTTAATCCTCAACCAGAAATATTTTTTTCCTTTGATAGTTTAGAGTGGAAGGGAGAGGAGGAGGGAGAGAGAAACATTGATGTGAGAGAGACACATTGAATGGTTGCCTCTTGCACAAGTCCCAACAGGAGTCAGGAATCAAACCTGCAACCCGGGTATGTGCCCCTGACCCTTTGGTGCCACTCTGGTCAGGGATAACAGAACTTTTTAATATATGTTACAACCAATTAATATATTAAATAATATATGCCCATACATTGATAGCAGTATTTGGTAATACCTATTTGTGAAGACATATTTTTATTTTTAAAGATAAAATATGTATTATCTCATTGTAGAATAGTTTTAAAAGATGTACATTTGCAATTTCTAAAAACGCTGTAAAATAAGAAGTGAGAATATATCAGTACATATTTAAGTATTTTCAATAAAAACTTTTATTATAGCCCAGCCAGAGTGTCTCAGTGGTTAAGTGTTGATTTATGAAGCAGGGGGTCCCAAGTTCAATTCTCAGTCAGGGCACATGCCTGGGTTGCAGGCTTGATATCCAGTTGGGAACGTGCAGGAGGCAGCCAGCGATTCTCATCATTGATGTTTCTATCTCTCTCTACCTCTCCTTTCCTCTCTGTAAAAAATCAATAAAATATATATATATTTAAAAATCTACACAATAAAAGAGAAACATGCAAATTGGTGTCACTCTGCTATGCCCACCAGCCAATCAGAGTGAGTATGCAAGTTAACCCAACAAACATGGCGGTTAATTTGCATATGTAGCTGTGGAGCAAAGACCGAAGACAGTGTAGAAGGAAGCCAAGTGCTGCAGAAGGGAGCAAAGCAGCGGAGAAGGAAGGGAGCCGAGGCAGCGGAGACGGTAGCAGACTCGGCAGCAGACACTGGAGCAGAGGGCGGGTTTTTCTCCCTTCTCTGCTTCACTCTGGCTGCAGAAAGCCCTATCCTTGCAGGAATCTTCCTGAGATGGACCTCTAGTATATATATATATTATAAAACAAAACCAAAAAAAGGTTTATTATATAAATGTTAAGTCCGTATCATATGATATAGTTCTTAATGTAACTACAGTGAAAAAAAAAAGTTGGAAAACTGTCAGCTTGCAATCAATGAGATTAAGACAAAATCTTTATGTAATGTCATATAATATAGTTCACGCACTGAGTGATTTATTGCTTCTTTCCCAAGTTATATTTTTTCCGTTTTGGTGTTTACATATAAAAAAGAAAAGAGACACAAATTAATACTCTCAGATCAATTATAAGAATAATTACAAATATTTTTACCTATTAGAAAGAATTAAAAAATATTTTGAATAAAATAATTATAAGCAGAAACTATGTAAATGTGTCACATTTGACTATCACTTTCTTTTGAAATACAAAGATATGTTAGCCCATAAAAATAACCTGGTGTTCGACTCCCTGGAACTTTCATGTATAGCTGAACTGTATTCATGCCCAGAATAGAATGACCAAGGTGGCTTAGAAGATTTGCTGCTGATACCACCCGCACAAAAGCAGGAAGTTTAGTCAGCTCATGCAGCTGCAACTTCCACCTGAAATAAAATAACAGATCAAAAGTTTAACTTTGCACCCAGAGACAGAGAAGCATCGGTCAGATGCTCAAACCTCAGAGGGAAGGTAGGGGAGGGTGGGGGTAAGGAGGAGAGATCAATCAAAGGACTTGAATGCATGCATATAAGAATAACCAACAGACACAGACACCAGGGGGTGAGGGCATGAGCTGGGGGAGGGAGGACAGGGACAATGGGGAGATAAGGACACATATGTAATACCTTAATCAATAAAGAAAAAAAAATTTAACTTCGCTACAAATATTTATGAGAATTAATTGTCAAAAATCTTGTGATCTGACCAGAAAACATTACATTTCTAACTATTATACTTTTAAAGTCAACAGTGCTAAAATGTTTAACTTTTTTTAAAAAGTTCAAACACAGAGTGATAATTGTACAAAAACAAAAAAATTATAATCACGTAAATCAAGCATGTCAAACTCAAAAGCTAACATGGGCCAAATAAACAATGTTTAAGTTTATGTGGGCCGCAAAAGAAAAAAGCTTCAATTTTCATAGAAATGTATGTTTATTTCAATAGAAACATGCTGAATACAATGACTAATCATTAATATAATAGAACATTTTAATAAAAATTAACATATTTTCTTGAACATTAACTTACCAGACACTGAATAATTGCATAAA